TTAACATTTGTGTATACTATGTATGAGTCTACAGTAGCATGGAATTCCTTCTTATTTAGCTTATTGGATACATCACATAAATGAAATGGTATCCTTTATTAGTTGACCTTTCGAACACATTTAATCCTTAAGGATCTTCTCATTTGTGATTCAAACAATAAATAGTTTTTAAAGGCGATATCCATTGAATAATACCGTCACACTGTATGTTATTATCCAATAAATAAAGCAATCAATCAGTTAGGAATTTCAAATTATCGAAATTTTCAGGACAGAATTTTCTCACGTAATCAATATATACAAGCCATATGAAAATGGTACTGAATCGTGCAGAACTAGAATGTGCTACCTGACTGTCATGAACCCTTTTCCAAGCGTTTCTTAGAAACCTGTCATTGGTAACGAAGTCTAGTCTCTATAAAATGCAAACTTTGAACTTTTTCACTTCATTAGTGAGAGTGTAGCAGCAAAGGTCAATGGAATTTCTCGACGTTTATCAGCCTATAAAGAGCGTTCAGAGTCTCTTCGTAAGTGATGTCATCTACCTCTATGATAGCTACATTTAATAATAACAGTGAGCAGTCAGTATTAAGTGGCAGTAAAATGTCATTAAGATTTAAATGTAGAACACTTACAATGAACACTGCAGTGCTGAAAAATATTCCAGACAGTAAGACATACAGCATCTGAAAGAAACAAATAAAAAGTTTGTTGGGTGAGAACAGATGAAAGTGTTTATTTTTCTACTTGTCTCTGAGTGTTTATCCTCACTTATTTATATGACAGTTTCAGAAGTTACAAAGTGATTTTGGCGATCATAAATTGCACATCGTCCGAAACTACTTTGATTTTTAGGTGTCTAGACAAGGGGGCTAAATTTGTTCGTTGTGCCTTCCTAGAGTATACATCTGCTTTTGACTCGGTCCCTAGGGACGTCTTATTAAATAAACTTGCTGCAAGTCAAACAGAATGTTGGGCTGTCAACTGGTTACATTCCTATTCCTCAGAAAGAAAGCAGTACACCGTGTATAAAGGGAAGTCTTCCACTTCATTGCCTACTGAATCTGGAGTCCCTCAAGGCGCTGTCCTTTCTCCTTTTCTTTTTCTCTCTTCCTACATGACTTGCCTCACTCTGATGAAATAAACTGTGTGAAATACCCTAGTGATTTAACTGTTTCCATGGCTGTTAACTCCCAGCTAGATTGTACCAAAATAAATAGCTTTCTGTCGGAGTCAGTTTATGTTCTGAGTCTAGCTGTCTTAAACTGAATCCTTCTAAATGCCAAACTGTTAATTTCAGCTAAAGATGTAAAAGATGGTTAAAAGAAGCCGTCAATTCTCATGATAGTTGCAAGACTGGCGACAATGATATAGGAATAAAATCAGAAATTAAGTATCTTGAACTTATTCTCTCTTCTGATCTCTCCTGGTCTTCCCATACTTTAGTGATCTCCAGTAAAATATTCCGCCTGACATTTTACATTAAGAAGTTAAGGCACTCAGGTATAACTCAACCCCTCCTCTTACAGTTCATAAACTCTTGCATCCTACCTATTCTTCTTTATTGTTCACCCTTATTCTTTCTTGATTTGCTTAAAAAGGACTATGTCATCATTCGTAGAATGCTGAAAACTGTCAGTAGGGTGAGTGGTGTCCCAGTGCACCAAATTGTTAACGTCGTTGTCGGTAGGTATTTGAATTCGTGCAATAAATTTGCTAAACGGATTTTGTCTAACTTGGAGCATCCACTTTACCCTCAGCTTTCACCTTGCATCTACTCAGGTAGAACAAGAAGTAACTTCAGAAAACTATATGATCGCATGTCTAAGTATAAAAATTCTATGATACCATACTTGGCGCTTATTTTATGTGATGAAAATAGTGTCAGGCAAGAATTGACTAACCTTTTTTCATCTAGTAAATAAACAATCTCCTCCATCCATCCTTATATACCTTCAAATTTTACTTTTATTATTTCTATTATATTTATGGTCGTCCGGTTGCTGCTTTGTTTTACTCTCATAATTGCAAACACCAACTTATCTCTATGACTGCTGTAATCTTTGTTTTTCCCCTCACCATATCATGGAAAGAGAACATTATATTCAATATTTTTAAACATGCTAGGATTTCTATACCGCATGGACAATACTGTGTGAAACAAGCCCACGGCAATTTTCACTTGTATTATTATTACCTTAGCTGTTATCATTATTATTATTATGTCCATTTCATATGGTGCATGTTTCTGAAATTACCCCTATTGTAAATGTGGAAAATTTTCTGTGTGACTAATCTTTATTTATAATTTGAGGAAATTAGATGCAATATTGTGATTTATGCTGAAAACTCCATTCTGTATCACAAGTACTGTTTTTGGAATAAAGTAAATCATTATTATTATTAAAATATGCATTAAGTAATACTCTTGACTATTGATTGTCATCAAGTTTTCTTAAAGAGAACTTTCAATATGATAAGATATGATTCTGAACATTAATTTATGCTCGAAATATCATCGATTTGTTAATAATGCATAGCAGTGTGATATTTAAAATAAACTTATCTAATATTGAATGACTTTCATAATAGCCCCAACTAGCACACCAATATATATTATGATGGATATCTCAAGACAAATCTTAAGAAATATGATGTACATATATGCTACCCATTGCTGAATGAGTTTAGTTGTCTGTGTGTACAAGCTAAGGCAATGCTCCAAATTTTACCAGCCAATGATAATTATAATAATTTGCTTTATTCCAAAAGAGTACTTGTGATACACATTGGAATTCTCAGCATTTGCACCCAGTTAGTACACTATCAATAAAAAGAATTCTACATAGATTAAGGAAATCTTAGTTTATTATTACAACAACACATTGGCATGTCGGTAGCAAAGCCAAAGTTGAACAGTGTTTGAAGGTGTTAGAAAAGTAGGTGCTGCCATATTTACTGGCGTAAGTGAGAGAAAGAAACAAAGCAGCACATAACTGAAAAAAGAGAGAGAGAGAAAGGGAAAAGAAAGGAGAAAATGTTGTACCTATAAATGATATGAGCTGGAAAGACGAGATCCAGTTGTACTACTGACTATTTAATGAATTATAGGTATCATGCCTAATGCTTTCTTTATCACACAGAACACGAGCTAATTAGGATATGGTTGAGTTTTTGTACTTGCTGGTGCGAGCATATAGTTTTCTATATAGGCTTCTGGTTTTACCTGATGAGATGCAAGGGAAGAATTGTGAGTGAAGAAGGTGGTGTGAGTTAGATGAAATGGATTTGACCCATTCTTCACATGAGTCCATGTGCCTGTCGACCAGAATATTAACAAGCTGGTTAAGTGGCACGTTGCTTACCCTGCTGACAATATTTAACATCCTGCGTAATATGTTATAGTCTTTCTTCAGTAGACCGGGAAAAACTAAGGGGGAACAATAGAGAATAATAGGCAGAATGCGAGAGTTAACGAATTGTAGAAGTAAGGGTTGGGTTATACCAGAATGTTTTAACTTCTTGATGTAGAAGGCAAGACGGAATATTTTCTTAGAAATCGCCAAGATATGAGACGACCAGGAGGGATCAGCAGACAGAATGACGCCGACTTGGTTTCGATTTCAGTGCCATCTATGTTGCACACCTCGTGAAAGGCAACCAGTTTGTATAGGTGGGATTTATGCCTAAAGGTGAAATTGACTGTTTGGCATTTGGAGGAGTTTAAGGTAACACCGTTTTCCTTGGACCACTGGCTGATTTCTGACAGAAAGCCATTAGGTTTAGAGCAGTCACTTTGACATTTGACAGGCAAAGATACTGTCAGGTCGTCAGCATATTTAACAAAATTAATGTCATTTGAAGATGGTAAGTCAAGTAGAAAGAAAGAAAAGAGAAGTGGGGAGAGTACAGCACCTTGGGGGACACCAGCTTCAGTGAGCGCAGCAGAGGAGGATTTACCTTTGTATACGGTGTAGTGCATTCTGTTAGAGAAGTAGGAATGCAACCAGTTAGTGAGCCAGGACTCAGTTTTTGTCAAAGAGATCTTATTTAGCAAATGAATTAATTGAATATATTCAGATACCTCCCTTAGGTGGCGAGAGTTAAAAATTTGAAGAATGGACATTCATACTTGAGTGAATTTTGACGCTCTTCTCAGCAAAGTTCAGGAATAATAACCTGAAGAATTTTCTCATCTCAACCAGGTGTAGACTTTCGAATCTAACACTATTACTTACAGATATCGCGTTTCACACTGTTAAGAACAGTTATTTGAATTCTTCTAATACTCTGTGTACTGACGAGAATTTATAGAAAAATTGTCAACAGACTGGAACTCATTGTCAAAGGAATTGAAGGTGAATATTTTAGTAGCTTGCGGAAGAATATCTTTTGAAATTGGTTGCTTGTTCACAACTGGCAGTGTCGTGCCAATTACCACATTGTCGGTCATAGTTTTACTGAGGTTTTCCGAAAGCGCAATGAATATCACTTGGGATTAAATCCTAATCAATAATAAAGACTAGTGATATCCAACGATGCAAACGACCGCGTACAAACTCAACACCCTCAGTAAGGTTGATGCCGTTCGGCTTTATCGTGGTTGCATTGGCAGCATGAATGTTGTTGAGAGATAGCCTAGAAGTGACTTGATCATAATGTGTCAGAAAAACGAATATTCGGAGATTGGTTCAATAGCAGATATCTGATATGCACACAAGATTTCTGTTCCGAGGTGATGGTGGGAAGGTGATAGTGAGTTATGGCCTGCACTACAGTATAGTCTGGCGTTATCTCAGGTGCAGTATCTATGATGAATAAAGTCGGTGCCATTTAACAAAGCCTAAACGCAGTGAAAATGTGGTCTGGTCAAATGGAATGAAGAATTCGATTTCAGCATTCAAGGTAAATCTATAAAGTCATCACAACATTATATTTCAGCTATTTCATCATAAAAATGTAAGCACTTACACTGTAGGACTGTAGGAAGATAAAGATGACAGCACACAATAGAAATCCACCAGCTATTGCTAGCAAAGTTATCCAGAGGCTTTTATTAAATTTCGGTAACATGTAACCGAAAAATATAGCCACTACAGCGAAAGCTGTTGCCAACACTAAAGCAAGGATGTTAAATCCTATTTTTAGCACACCACATACAGCAGTAATGCCAAGGGAATAGAATACAACCTGAAGAGAAAGAAAAATACTTCGATGTTTATTCAATATTGAAAGCGGTGTGCACTGAAATAGAGGCATTGTCATCAAGCCCTAAATGGTCTTGAAGAATTAGAAAAACACAATAAGAACAGCTTTTGTAGGATAAGCTACCCCTGTCTCTTTTAGCTTACATGTGAGTTAAAAGTTGCAGTGGGAAATGTTTCATCAAACGGCCACTGTCTAATCCGTATAGGATTTGCCTATTCTTCGAAAATTTCATGTGTTCCATTTAAATCGAATAGTTTATTGATATTCCTTGGCTAATGAATATAAATTCTTTTTTAGCACTAAAATTTGTTGTTCACACTGGACAAGTGAATAGGTGAAATACTCTTAGCACTCCCTCTGAAACATCTGGAATCCATGGCTGTTAATCATTTTGGTAGTTTCAAGTAGTTAGTCTTTCAGTATTTAATTTGTGGATGGTGACTAGCGGTGGAATCCAGGATGCGCATTTCGTCCTATTTGGGACTCCTCACTGGATGTACCTGCATTTCTCAGTGAGTGATGATGTTCCCACCGAGGCTCAAACCCAGTGCTCATAGTTTCAAACGCCAAAGCGTTATCCACTAGACCACTTGGGCCACGAGAGCTGGCCACCTCTTGTGCAACGAGTCATATTAATTTAATCGAATTTTAAATTTTCCCGTCGATTGATTGGACCGAAGTGCTTGGTCTCAGGTTGACATGTCGGCTTCTTGAGCACTTCGGTCCATTCAATCGACGGGAAAATCTAAAATTCAATTAAATAAAAGTTAGTCTTTCAGTTTATTAACTCATACCACAGTGCAAATACTTGATGGGCTTCGCTACTCAGCCAATTTGAATTTATGTAAAATAAACAGTCAAATGTGTGCACTGACATCTTCACTGTCATGAGTTATATTGGCTAAGCGATACTAATTTTAAAACTATACTATATTTTTGGAAGGAAATGTTGCATAGACGTTTAGTTTTGTTTCACCCACGTGTTTTTAAATGCAAATATCTTCCAAGACTGAATGAGAATTATTCAATAGAATATCCAAAAATGATCAATTCAGGATATGGAATGAACGCAAATGCATAATTACAAGTATTTCCTTGGTTGAATGATGTCGAGGTGGTCTATTTTTTGTCAGTATAAGTTTGAAACTGCTTGACTGTTTCAGATATATTATTATTTCACAAGTGAAATTACTGCAGTATATTTGACCCTTTTTTGACTTTGCTTTCCGTGTGAGATATACAGAAAAAACGGGTTCACTGAGATGAATGCCCAAATTTTCTATCAATGGTAAGTATAACGACAAGAATGCTAAGTAATGAGAATCAGTGGATGTTGTAATAAAGTCACTTTTACACTATAACTTTATCGCCTAATACCAGTAGTATAATATATTGCGAATCTGCAATTAAAAGTGTTCTCTGGGCTGGTTGGTTTAGTTGCGAAGCTTTCGTAGTCCTTCCTTTTAATTGCAAATCATCCGCCTGAGCTACAAATCTTCTCTATTATTTCAAAATATTGCGAATCTGATACATTTATATTATAATTCAAACATTTCGTGTAACTCTTTACTCTACCGCGTGAAGTGGATGATAAGGTGAGCAATATTGAGGTTAGGTGTCGAGTGCTAAGTAAGGCGGGGAAATCAGTCGACGAGACTGTGAAATTGCATCGACTGAGATGGTAAGGACATGTATACGTATGCCTAGTCATCGCCTTCCTCGACGGGCAATGTTAGCTGATATATGGTTAGGCTGGAAAAGAGCTAGCAACGGTTAAACAAAAACATGGCACCAGTCAATGAAATCCACAACAGTTAGTCTAAGCCACCTAGGAAGGTGTAGACTTCCTGACTGGTTGGGGTCCTCGGGACAGTAAAAACCAATGGTTGGAAACAATTGGTGACATGGTTCCAAATCGTTCTCAATGGCGCAGATGCGTTCACTCCTTGTGACTTATGATTTCCAATTAAACTGTTTTGTTCTTCATTATTACTACTCCTTTGTCTCACACCTCTGTTTACTGTCTATATTATGCATTTCTCCTACTTTCTTCTCTTGCTTTGTGTGCTACATGAAGTGTGGCGACTTGAACTGCCGCACATATGTGCAAAGTTCTATGTCGAAAACCGACCGACCGCTTGATTTAGGAATATTCCCATGTCTTATAAGCAGTGAAATTACCTGTAATAATCAAGCTTAACAAAAAAATGGTTGAAATTCACCAGTGACAAATTTCAGATGTCGCTATTCGAATGCTGTGCAGATATCTTCATTTCTGATTGGAGGATAATTGATGGACGAACTGGTTTGCCGTATTTACCATTGGGGCTATATTTTGTCGGTCTAAATCAATTCACAATCTCAAACAAGAAATGAAAGTTTCATGAAGACGTTATCCATCGATTTTTTGAGAAAAATTCATTCACTCGAGTCCACCAACCTAAGAAATAGCCATCATGGAGTGCGAATTCATCACTGATTTTGGATGCATACGATTCACTGGATTACAGAACCTGTCACTATTACAGCGCCAAAGGGAACGATGTTCTCAAAATTGATATGAGAATTTTATCCTTATCCTGTTTTTAAGTATTGTTTGAACAATATGTTGATAGCATGTTAGGCTTGGGATTAGTATTAGGGTTGTGGTTAAGATTAGGGTTCAGGTAAGTATTAGGGTTTTTTTCCCTTCACGTTCCCAAGTGGAACATAGGGCTTCAAGCTAGTGGATTGAAGTTTCTGTAGCAGTGTTTATTATTTTTACAGGATGGGGTTGCTAGCCTCATGCCCAACCTTTCCTCTTCACCAGCATTATATCTGGCTTAGCGAGGTAAAAGAGTGCGTCAGCCGGGAATCGAATCCCGGACCATGTGCATGGTCGGCGAGGGTCCTAATCGCTATGCCACCGACGCACTTTAGTATTAGAGTGAGGGCAACGTATTTTTATCATCTGTATTTTTCTTGTCAATAAATAAATTGGGAGGAGAGTGTTTCATTGTTCATAAGGATGAAACCGTTTCTGTGGCTGTGAGACTTGAGAACTGATGCCCTTCATTGTATTTGCAAAGAGTCTTTCAGTCAGGTTAAGGTCAAATACCATCTTTAATATATTTCATTATTATTATTATATTAGTTTTTCTTGCAAATAAACATCTTTTTGATGTAGAATACGCGGCAGGTTTTGTTATTCAACGAACGGGAGTATGTTCAAGAGCACTTGGGCATTCGTACTCCATGGTCTTTATTCTTGATTTGAACTCTCTAGTCTTTATACCTCTGTAACGCTGAAAGCCATCCATCCACCAATGATGGAAGGCTGTATCCTGTATCATGAAAATCATTGGTCACTGAGCATATTGCAGAATTATGTGGATGGCTAATGTTCATTTAGGTAGATCTGAAGCAGTGCTTTTCTCAAGACAGTCTTGCATAGAGTAGATATAACAATATAGGTGGGTGCTGACTTGAGTCTAATGAATAACATCTATACACGTTTGCCATTTTATTTTTTTCTCAGATAAATCATAATTATCAGGTGTCACAATGGAATAGAGAGGATTATATCAAAACTAACACTGCTTCGTCAATTACGTACATTCTTGTGATCATGGTAAAAATGTTATCAGTGTATCTTACTTATCTGTATGGAAAAAGTAGATGAACAAGTTTCAATTGAACATAAAAGTTACAGTCTCCTTCATTAAGGAAAACATGAGTAATAACGATATGTATTGATAACAGATACTTTCAGTGACATCAACGCTTACGATTAATCCAACCATAGTGTACAACAGAGGAAGAATGTACCACACGTACTTCACGTATATCACAATCACTAGAAGTACTGAACCAACTACCCTGCAAAAATAAAAAGAACAACCGAGATTGCCTGTGAACATTACATGGTTATTCTTCCTGTGTATCGTTTTCTATTGAGAGAAATGGTTACATGTGAAGTTTATCAGTAAAAATGACCGTAATAATAATAATAATTTGCTTTATTCCAAAAACAGTACTAATGATACAGCAAGGAATTTTCAGCATTCAGTACAATATTGCATCTAATTTACTCAAAAACGACAAAAAAATTAAAAAAGAAATAGTCATTACATAATAATGATAACAAAATGTTTTTATAGCAGCTATTTAGCAAATTACTGTAAGCAGTACGGAGAAAAATACGCATAAAGTATAAAATTATGGTAATAATAGTAATAAGAACTAAAATGAAAATAGCAAAGTTATAATTAAACGATAGAAAGGGTGACACTATAAAAATACAGAAAGATGAACAATGAAAGGGTCGATTCACTATGCTAATTACATGGTAACTTATATGTTTCACGTCTAACAGAGTCTTCATCACATAAAATACTGGCTAAATACAGTATCGTAGAATTTTTGTACTTAGTGATTTGAGCATATAGCTTCTTATATTGACTTTTCGTTCTACCTGATGAGATACAAAGGGATAGTTGTGAATAAAGGGGGTGCAGAGGGTCTGACAGTACGGCCTTTGCTCACTTTGTACAGGAATTTACGTGTCTCTTGACTTTAGTATTGGCGAGCTCACGCAGTGGCAAACCACAAGCCCTACTCACAGCATTTAATACCCTTCGTAATATGACATAGTCTTTTTAAGAAGCCCAGGAAAGATTAATAGAGAACAATAGAGTACAATAGGTAAAATACAGGAGTTTAAAAATTGCAGAACTGAAGATTGGTTGATACCTGATTGTCTTAACTTTTTAATGTAGAAGGTAAGATGAAACATTTTCTTAGAGATTAATAAGATGTGGGATGACCATGAAAGGTCAGAGGAAAGACCTAATCCAAGGTATTTAATGCTTGACTTGATTTCACTTTCAGTGCCATCTATGCTACAGGCATCATGGGAACTAACTAGTTCATGTATGTGACGTCGACGCTTGAAAGTAAAGTTAACTGCCTGACATTTGGAAGGATTTAACATAAGACCATTTGACTGAGACCACTTGCTGATGTCCAACAGAAAGCCATTAAGTTTGAAGCAGTCAGATTCGGAAGTGATAGGCAGTGATACAGTCAGATCATCAGCATATTTGACAAAATTAGCTTCGTTTAAATGAGACACGTCGTGTAGGAAGAAAGAAAAAAGAAAAGGAGAGAGGACGGCACCTTGAGGAACACCGGCTTTTGTAAGCAAAGCAGAAGAAGATTTGCTATTATATGCAGTATACTGCATTCTATCAGAAAAATAAGAATGTAACCAACTCTTAGTCCAGGATCCTGTGTGCGTCAATGAAAGGCCCCTAGGTACAGAGGATGCACTGTTTCGTCATATGTCTGTTGTGCCACAGTTTCCTGTAGTTTCTGATTTTATAATTGATTATTTGTTTCTCAATAAAGGGTGTTCATATGCAATTCTTTTTCTCTCTCAACAAAACCAAGATGTTAAATGTTTCGCTTATATTCGAAACTACGAGATTTCTTGTTTCGAAAACATAACCTTAATTACATTCCCTTTAAAAGTGAAAGTTGTTTTATCAGTCAGCTACCTGAAGTATTTTGTAGTGACAATTGTTTGGAATTAACTTACAGGAATACAAGGGGAATCACAGGGTGATCTTGAGTAAACACCTTGTTCAAAGTTCCTCTGTAAAGAGAGAGGAGTCTGTTAAGGCAAAATACAGATTAAATTACATGTCGCATATCAACTGAGTGATGAGAATTGTTATGGCCATCATTATGCAGATGCACACGACCATCTAGATATGTGAAATAAGTTAAAGGAAACTGCATACTTGTATCAAAAAACCTCGAGTTGATATAGACTTTTTATATGAAAACAAAAATGGAGTGAAATGCAGTTATTCGTAATTACCACAGGATATCCCATAGTGTGAATTGTCTTCATGTGAGCTATAAATGCAAAACAAGCGTCAAATGAGACATTATATATATACATATATATATTATTGCAAAGCTACTTAGCACAATCACTTGTAATCTGTTTACAAATACTAATGAATATAATGAGTTTTCTAAAGTTTGGTTTCTATGGGTTTGTTATGTTTTCACGAGTTATTCACGGACTGATATCAGTTAGAGAACCATTGAAAACCAAGGAGTACTGGACAGCTGCTGTTTCATCCTTGTTTGGGAATCATCGGCAGTACGCACCCACTGGGATTCGAACCCAGGACCTTCCGGTTACAAGGCAAGCCCGTATACCATTCAGCCTCTGGGACCCGATTCAATGGCCAACCCATGAATTCTAACTTCTACCAATTCGTGATTTAGCGTGGGAACGAACAAAACAAGAACCAATCGCTCAACAAATATGCAGGAGAAGGTAGAGATGGATTGGACACTCACTGAGGAGGCCGCTGGGTGGCATCGCGCGTCAGGCCAGTGCTCGAGTGGAACCCGAAAGGGAGGCGGCGAGTGGGACGTCGAAGGGTGACATGGAGGAGATCGTGTGAAGAGGAATGGAGAAAGTATGGACTAACATGGATGCAGGTGAAAAGTACAGCAGAAGACAGAAGGAAGTGGAGACGTGTAGTTGAAGCTCTTGTTCCACTAGGAACCCAAGGGAATGATAATAGTAATATGGCACAATATAGCGACGGGTCACAAAGCTGATTTCATTGGTGTCTTTCAACCCATATATTTCACAGATTTAGGTCCTATAACGAAATTCGTTGAATTCTTAGCTATAAAAAGCTTGCCTTGATAATCCAGTATTGTGACAGAGCTTTACTTTACTTGGTTATATTTTCACTCTTGCTCTTTTTTCTCAACTATTATTTATGACCAAGACCTGTAAATACTTTGATAAATACACTGATAAAATTGTGTTCCTCAATGCTTTTTACCCTTTATGTAAATATATTTGACAAGTACATGTGTCCGAAATGTGTCACGAGAATAGGTTACACAAGTTTATCAAGAGGACAGGTTGCATGAAACATTCACATCTTTAACTTCATCATGTGATTAGCTCTGAACAACATGTAAAATATTCATATGATCCATGAATCTGTTCCACGACTTCAAAAAAAAATCTGCATTGCAATTTACTTCGTAGTTTCAAAAATGGCAGTGTTCTAAAGAAAGATTTCTATTCTCACTTAATTAGAAGTGTGGCCTTCCTATTGACAACAGTGCCATTAAACTCAGGCAAAAAAACATAATTCATGAAAAATTTCCATTCGAACATTAATAGACAGAAGACGAGTAGTTCAACGAAGAGTTTTTTTTCGGCGAATTAATTTTCATTTATATATACATTCAAATCCTAAAAAATGTGACTTATCAACCATACCCAAGAAAATACTTTACATGAGCTTGCAATTCAAAGGGGACTTAGCTTCTGATATCATGAAACGAAGGATATCACAGTCCCTGAAAGGAACATTCCCTGCTGCATCCCTGAGAATAGCCTTTACTAGTCGACCATTATTGTTCAATAACCTGAAGGACAAGATCCCGCTGTTGACCAACTCTACGTGTGTTTATCAATTCACCTGCTCGTGTGGAGCTAGGTACATCGGTCGTTCGACTTGACTTTTGTCCAAGAGGGTGCAAGAAAACTATCCTGCATGGTTACGAAAAGGTGGAAGTGGAGCAATAAGAAGCGCTATCATTGAACATCTGGTCGATAATGATCACCCTATCTCTATAGCCTCCGCCTTCCAAGTCATCTACAAGGCAAAGAGTAATTTACCCAAATCCCTACGTACCCGACTCATCTGTATTGCTGAAGCTTTGGCTATCGAAACAGAAAAGCCGGATCTCTGCGTACAGAAGAAGTTCGTTCAACCCCTCCAACTTTCATGGTCTTAATCCCTCTATGCTAAAGTATGGTAATCCCCAATCATATTTTAGCTCTACCAATTTTTCATTTTTGTCTATTCAATTTGTATACTCTTCCTTGTTACGTCAACGGTTACTATTACTACTCTCACTTTTAATTGTCCCCGGTATAATTTCACTTGTTCCACTTGTCATTCAAAATTAATTCTGTTTTGCAATGTTTATTTTTATGTTATCAAATTTCACACAATGTTACGTAACGTTTTTATTTTATTCGATTTGTATACTAATCCTATAATTTCACACATCTTCCAAGTTCTATCCATCCTATGAATTATTTTATATATGACATTAATTTGCTTTGCCACTTGACATTTAACCATGATTATAACCACAAACATTTAGGTTTTAATTGCATTTCATACTACTACTATTATTATTTTATGCATTCACACCTATGATTCAATTCCCTCACTGGATATAACTTCTTAAAAACCATACATATATACGATTGTACAGCTTGATGATAAATTCGTTGAAAAGAGTCTCTTCGCTGAATCATTTGTTTTGATTTTCTATATGTTACAATGGGAATTTTCCATGATTTAAAAAATTTAATGTACACACACATACAAAACAACAATATATATTTGCGATTGTACAGCTATGAAAATGAATTCGCCGAAAAGAGACTCTTCGCTGAACTACTGGTCTTCTGTCTAACATAAATATTTGAAACTTTTAGCTTTCAATGAACCATAAACTAATATTTGTACATAGCCAAACAGTTATATAAGTTCATGGATCACATATACAATAATAACGTAGTAGAGAAGATACTATACTTACTTTTCTCCATTTTGATTTCACCTCAAGACAACTTAAACTAATATTCATTTTTATTACTCAGTCTAATGTAATAATTATTTCAACCTGATCGTTTGTTTTGAAACCATTTGAATAATCTTGTACTTTGTACATGTGATTATATAAGCGTAAAATTATATGAGTGTGTCAGATACACATTCTGAAACTGAATTAATAATTTGTGAAACTTATAATTAAATAAGTATTAATTGTTCTTAAGCTTATATCTGAGATTGAAACATTCGTAGTTCAATACTTCCAATTCCTAAAATTCACATAAATTTACAATTTATTTTAGCTATACTTTGATTGAACACGAGGCAGTAAGTAACTAATGTCAAGCGTCCAGTCTCCTTTTTATTATTATTATTGTTCCCTTGGGTTCCTAGGGGAACATAGGGCTTCAACTACACGTCTCCACTTGCTTCTCTCTTCTACCGTACTTCTCACCTGCATCCATATTAGTCCATACTGTTTCAGCTCCTCTTCGCACTATCTTCTCCATGTCACCCCTGGACGTCCCACTAACCGCTTCCCTTTCGAGTTCCACGCGATGTCACCCAGTGGCCTCCCCAGTGAGTGTCCAATCCATCTCCACTTTCTCCTGCATATTTGTTGGGCGATTGGTTCTTGTTTTGTTCGTTCCCATAGTTTCTTTTTTTGGGTGGTTCTTTCCGGCCATCTGATCTTCAGTATAGAGCGAAGACAGTTGTTGATAAAGGTCTGCAACAGGCTGTTGGAAATATTCTTTGTGACCCGCCAAGTTTCTGATCCGTATAGAAGAACTGACTTGACGTTTGTATTGAAAATCCGAATTTTGTTGTTGATGCAGGCTGAGTGACGAAGATTTCCAGATTGGTTTCAGGTTGATGAATGTGTTTCTCGCCTTTCCGATTCTCGATTTGACATCCTCGTCCGTTCCTGCTGTAGTTGAGACAATGCTCCCTAGATAAGTGAAGTGAATGTAGTAACCTCTTTCAAATCCCTCCCGTTGATGGTGATTAGCGCTGCCAGTCCCTTGTTTGGTGTAAACTAAATTCTGTCAGTCCGGTTTGCAATGTGACCAGGTGGCGGCTAGATGGCTTGTCATCACGTTGCACTCTGAATTCTTGTTACTAGAATTTTGAGGGCAGCCAGCAGAAAACATTGACTGCAAAACTGGCTGGAAGGATTCACTGCGCAGCACTGTGTGACACAGGTTTGAATTTTAGAAGTGAAATGATTCTCTTCAGGATTGCAGCTGTACCCTGTTTATGAGTGCCAACAAACCTGAAAACTAGGTTCAAGGCTTCTTACTGGTTGTCTACAGCCATCTTGAAATTGTCTTACTTGTCTAACACAGAGATAAAATGAATTGTTGGTGAATCTGCCGTAATGCATTTATGGACATTTAACACATATTTTCTCACTTTGAATTTTTAGTGAATTATTATTTATTTCAGAATTTTATGATTCTGTAGACTTTCTAATTACGTTTTCCGGCCAAGTTAAACTTTAGGCAGCACTAACTGCCAATCAGCGGATGACCTCGAATGATCCAATGAGGTTCATCCACGTGAGTTCAAGGTTGTATTCCACTGGATTCATATCAAATGCCTGCTCTAACGAAGTTACGCTTGCAGTTCTGTGAGGATAAGGTTTCGAGGTATTGCCTGAATTTGGGGTTGCTGAGGATGGAGAGGATTTATTCATGTGAAGGTGTCGTGAGTTTAAAAAGCTTTAGCAGGCCGACTGATGGATAAGTTCATCATCGTGCAATTTGTTTGAGACGATTTAGTATTGGGGAATGTAAGCTGATGATTTTAATATTTCGTAGGAACATTTTTGCTAGGTCGCATCCTTCCCTAAAGCAGATTTTGTATATTTGCAACTACTGGGTTTTAAAACAGCCTGTGAGAGGTGCAGCTGCTGAAACTGAAAAAAGCCTCATGTCAACAGTTCAGTGGTACCAGCACTGCAGAGACATCGCTTTACAGAAAGTGGAGAGAATAACTTCGTCGTTAGGCGGAGAAGGTGTCGTCGTACACGTCGAAAAAACTGTCGTATTGAATAAAAAATGCAACTGTGGTTGTGAGCAAGCCAACAACGTTTGAGTGATCGGTTTCTATGACACTTCTCTGTGGGAAGAATTCGTAGAGAGAATACCAGACAGAAAGTATACAACCTTAATACCTATTGTCATTCGACTGATAAAACAGGGATCTATAGTACATACTGATAAATGGAAAGGTTATAACTCGCTGTCATCCCTTGGATATATTCATCACCGTGTGAAACATTCTAGTGATTTTGTGGATCCAATTAGAGGGACACACACGAATTCTATAGAAAAAATTTGGGGAAGATTAAAAAATAGGATTAGGGTTATAAGTGGATCTCAAAAGGGGGTAATTTAAAGTCATTTAGATTAAAATATGCACAGAATGTGGCGTAACTATTCTATTGACACTCCTATGATAAACTAGGAGTTGTTTATGTCATATTTTAGAGAAAGACACCCTTTGTAACATTTTTATAAAGTTTATAGGTTTTTTTCCATAAATATACGTTTCCCATAATCAAAACTTCCTCCTTCATGTGATTGGTTTGTTGAAAGTCGTACGCTGATTGGTAGTTAGTGGTGACTAAAGTTTAACTTTGTCCATTATCCTTCTAAATGAAACAACATGAGAAGCTTTTTTGACATTTCTTAATATAAATCCGTTCTTGCATTGCATTTTGAAGACGTTTTTCAGCTTAAGTGTCACTAATTGGGCAAATTCTTTTAGCAAACTTTTTCACCATTTCGCTAATCATTTGATAATGCATCATGCACTTTATTCCGAATTTTGTACATCACTGAAAATCAGTTTCGGTTAAAAAACGTGATTTTTTGGATCTTAAGTGCTAAACATATTCAAAGCACAGACACACTGACTTCCACAGTTTTTCTGTAAGTTCACTGAAAAAAACAAGCAATTTATGCATACGAGTGGATTTTTCCGTTGAATTAAACAGTTCTCACATTTTAGCTGAATCTGAGATTTAAAATGGCATTAAAATAAATGAGAATTAAAAATAAACGCAGAAATCGAATGAACCTTTATTTGGTAGTGTCAATTAAGATGCGATACAACCCTACTTTTAACCACAGTTTCTCTTTACATTGGCCTATTATCCTAAAATAACACATTTTTCTGTTGTCACGGTTTGATAAGACATTTTCTATAATAAACTACTTTTTGAGACTGAACTCTCAGTGGTTGCTAACATCTGGGCGTATTGATGAACTAAGCATTTGTAAAAGTCATTTAAATACTACGTAGTCTGCACCGCTGATATTTGAGACAGTACAAAAGTCTTTTGTTAATTCACCATCTTTTCTTCTTGTTTTCGTATGCCAGTGTTACTGTTTTTGTTGCGGCTAACGGTGTGATTAGTAACCGAAATAGTTGTAGTCAGAGCATTAGGTTTGCTATGTCATGTCATCAGTCGGGCCACAGATAACGAGTGTTTTGGTTCTTCATGTGACCCTTAGTCGATTAGTGTGTAGGTAGAAATGTTGGGATTCTAAAGCTAGATTTCTTTTCTTTAATATAACTATCTAGCGTAACATCCCATAAAACACTTTCAGTGGGAATCTCGTCGGTAATCCATATTCGGATCTAGCTATAAGCATTGAATTTAAGATGATAGATGAGCTCTTCTATGTGCGTCTTTGAGATGCAAAAATATTTGACAGTCAGACTATTTGGTTTTGTCTACTGAAACTGCCTGCATTTGAGATTTCGAAATTATAACGTCCAACTCATTAGCGAAATCTAAAAGGACTGGAATTACCTGCTTATTTACCTGCAAGTGATAGAATATTTGTGGAAATTGATCTAGAACTAAAGTATTTAAAAGTATATGCAAATAATATAATATTAATGGGCCTATGTGTGAAATTTTTTCCGGGAAAACACAGAATCACAGTATTTATCGGGCATTTCTAATTTACGATATCCAACTTGAGTGTCTCATTTGATATTTTTATTATCGAAAATCAAAACAAATGATTCAGCGGAGAGACTCTTTTCAACGAATTTATCATCAAGCTGTACAATCGTATATATATGGTTTCTAAGATGTTATATCCTGTGAGGGAATTGAATCATAGGTGTGAATGCATAAAATAATGAAAATAATAATATGAAATGCAATTAAAACTAAAATGTTTGTGATTATAATCGTAGTTAAATGTCAAGTGGCAAAGCAAATTAATGTCATATATAGAATAATCCGTAGGATGGATAGAACTTGAAAAAGGGTGTGCAATTATAAGATTAGTAGACAAATAAAATAAAATAAAAAGTTACGTAATATTGTGTGAAATTTAATAGCATAGAATTTAATGTTGCATAAAGGAATTCATTTAGAATGACAAGTGGAACAAGTGAAATTATACCGGGGACAATTAAAAGTGAGAGTAGTAATAGTAACCGTTGACGTAACAAGGAAGAGTATACAAATTGAATAGACAAAAATGAAAAATTGGTAGAGCTAAAATATGATTGGGGATTACCATACTTTAGCATAGAGGGATTAAGACCATGAAAGTTGGAGAGGTTGAACGAACTTCTTCTGTACGCAGAGATCCGGCTTTTCTGTTTCGATAGCCAAAGCTTCAGCAATACAGATGAGTCGAGTACGTAGTGATTTGCGCAGATTATTTTCCGCCTTGTAGATGACTTGGAAGGCGGAGGCTATAGAGATAGGGTGATCATTATCCACCAGATGTTCAATGATCGCACTTCTTATTGCTCCACTTCCACCTTTTCGTAACCATGCAGGATAGTGGCTTATCAACCGTGACTTATCAACCGTACCCAAGAAGATACTCTACATGAGCTTGGAATTCAAAGGGGACTTAGCTTCCGATATCATGAAACGAAGGATATCACAGTCCCTGAAAAGAACATTCCCTGCTGCATCCCTGAGAATAGCCTTTACTAGTCGACCATTATTGTTCAA